GATAAGTACGTTTTCTAATGTATTTCCGCCGATATGTATAAGCCGATGCGAACGATGAAGGGAAATGTGTATGTCAGTGAAGGGCGTGACAGAAGTTTGATGGCAAGTTCATACGCATGTAAGGAAGGTGGGATTCAGGGAAGTACGTGACACAAGTTGAGGCTCGTTCATACGCATGTAAGGAAGGTGCGAAGAGACAACATGATGTAGCATCACGTATGATTTAAATACTGTTCGTGGTATCGACAACATAAGAAAGGGAAGAGACGACATAGATGTCTCAATGCGTGAACGTAGCTAATCATAGCATATCGCCATCGAACACAACTACATCATGATGCTAGTGCATGCATAACCAGAGATTGACTCTTAAACAGCTATTGTGCGTCGTGTTGTTGTCTGAATGCATTTGCATGACTCGTGACTCATAGTTCGGTGCGTAGCTAAGACAACTGCATCCCACAACTTCACTGCTAGCTCGCTACCTCCCTGCACAGTGCCGCACATCTGACTGCTGACTGACTGCGTCCGGGCGCAGTAATACTGCCAGTTCTTTCGCAGTATAATCTACATGTCATTCTCTTAGTAATTGTAGCATTAACTTTCGACGTGATGTAATTACTTTATGTTTAAATGGATGGATATGTTGAGAATACGCCAAACGTAAGTGAGCAAGGAATAACAGGCCAGGTGGTGATTCAATTGACGTGCAAATAGACATTGAGAGCATTTGATGCAGTTTAAACCGAAGCTCTTTATTTGTTGCAAATGTCATTTCATTGCAATCAGACATTAATCGAGGAAAACCCACACGCAAAGTCTTCGAGAGGAACGGCTGCACACATGTATGACAGGTCGAGTGAATTATCAATAGCGTCGACTGACGCCAGTCTTCAGATGCCCTAACGACGAAAAGGCAAATGGCCCAAAGAGGAGTGAATAGGGAAAAATATACAGTAAGCGGCACCAAGCACCTTCACAACGCGACGTTAAAGCAGCCATCTATACAGAAGGAAACTCGTGTCACAGCGCGTTGGACACCAGCATAGATGGCGCCCTACCTCATGCGGCATCGTGGCGAAAACAGCAAACATCATGCGGATGTTGCAGGAGCGATCGAAGAAGCGCCGAGATCGTTCTGAGTACGCAAATGCGACGAGGTGATCCGATGACATCGCCCCGTCTAGAGGAGCGAGCTCGTTAACTGCCCGACGCGGGCAGGACGATAGCCATGCAAGCAGATCGAGCTTATATGCTAAGCGTATATGTAACAGATGTAGATGAGTTAAATCTACAGTGTAAATCGCCTGACCTTCCTTTCAGGCATTGCTTGGAAGTCAGCTTGCTGAACATTGCAAGGTAAGTTTCAATGTGATTTCTTTGACAATTTGTAAATTGGTTATTTCTCATAATGACATGCTGCTATGTAAAACATCACATATATGACATACTTCTCTATATTACCTGTATAACAGTTGTTCTGCTTTCTGATGATACTCGACATATCATTACAAATATAGTGGATTTAGATGGCTGTGAACCAAGTATTTGTCCCAGTAAGTACGTGGTATGAATTTGTGATAGAAATAATATCCTTACTCGACTGCTCACTGCGCCAGAGTGTGTAATATTGTGTGGAAGTATTTCGGAAAGAATTATCTGTGAAGTGTGAAAACATTTCTAATAGCGAGATGATGATTATTGTGTTACCATTGGCTATATATTTGGGAGATTGACACTTTAACGTCAATACAGATTAATCACCTTTACCGATATTGAATTGATGTCATTGAGAATGAGAACTCAAGTTTTGTCTACGAGTTCAATAACTACGTCAAATGGTAATGCACAACACTATGGAACAAATTGAAACTTATAAGATTGTACCTGCATACATATTTATGATTCCTTTTAGTCACCATGTTATCCGAAGGCAAACCGACGACAGCTTTATTGTAAAAAGCCATCAAGTCACAACCCACCCTGTTCTCAAACCTGTCCACTTTCGATCATGTCTTTAATTTCACTTATTTCTATCCTTAAACGTTTCTCTGTAACAAATTTTGTAGACTTTATCGCCTCACATAATGACTTGCAGTCAGTTACACAGATCAGTGGTATTGTCATGGAATCAGGCACTCCAGTGGTAAGCTCTGCGAACAGTGCCGACAAAAACACCCCTGTGTCTATACCATCAGCCAAAGAAAGTGTCTCTGCGGCTAGGGTACTACGGACGACCCTACGAATTTTACTCCAACATATTGGCACCAGTTTTCCATGTTCATCAACTAGACAAACCAGATACCCACCCTGTGTGCTACCATCAGTCCGATTTCCGAGTGAAGTATCACTGTAGACCAACATTGATAACTATCCTTCCAGACGTTGGAACTTGAGTGCTAATATCTCAGAGTTGACCCTTCTAATCAGCTTATTAGCATCCAACAGATCACGCACTTTAGCATGTTTGATAGTCGCTGCCAAGTTACTAGCATCAAATATGATATCTGGTCTACTCTGGTGTGCTATCCACAGAATCTGACCGACTTTAGACCTCGATATCTGACGCTCGCTGTCCGTTACATCTGCATCTTTCTGCAATGATCTGGCCTTGTCAATCTGAATAGGTGCATGACTCCCAGCGTATTCGTTCTGGTCGAGATAAATGTCCCCATTCTTGTACGAAAGATTCATGCCGATATATATTTGAATGTTCCATGCAGCATCTTCTCTACCAACATTGAACGTTGGCCTGATACTTTCAATGATTGTTGTTTGGAACTCAGCAGTTCCTCCCCAAATGAAGTCGTCCACATGACAAGCCAGTACTCTCATCAATCTACCAGCCTCGTCCAACCAATAGAACACGGCCGGATCCACTTTGGAAACTTTTGCACCAAGTTCAATCATGACAGTGCGCACTCTGTTGTACCAATACAAAGATGCATCGTTCAGTCTATACACACACTGAAGATGCCAGACTTTTCCATTGCAGTTTCCCTCTTTTGGCGGTTTGAGATAAATATCTCTTTTCAATTTATGTCCTTTTACATTATGCAGTTTTAATGTCCATTGAGTGTGGTGTCCAATTGTTGTTTGCGATCATGGCTAGAATCATTTTCAACGATTCCGCCGCACACATTGGTGAGTCTTTCTGAATGACAATTGAAATCTCTTCAAACCCCCGGGCAACCAGTCTCGCCTTTCGGTATGATGCCCCCAGGAGTGTCTTTCCGGGTGGGTACACACCCAACGTGTTGATAGACACTTTTGTTCAACATCCTCTACTTCGTCAAAGCCCTCATATTTTCTCCAGTTTTCAATTTCTGCTAACTTTTCGTCGCTAAAAGAGATCGACATCGCTCGCCACTAATACACTGTCATCCACTTGCTGAGGTTGTGGTACATGTATGTAGGGCCCAACAACTTTCACATCTGATAGTTGACTTATATCAACTGGCTGTATTTCACTCTCTGAGTTGTCATTATCGACATATTCCAAATTGTACCAATATTTATATTATAATTTTTATAATTTTATTAACATTAATTAACTGTTGAAGGTGTGTCCCTGTGACGTCTCCACCTGTGCAATATTTGCATTTTGTAGATCAACTGCTCCCACTCTGCAGTTGGTCTGCTTATATGGTGAGACGACCTGGCTACTGGACACACCCCTTCCAGAACCTATAATTTTTCTATTTTCAATATTGAAATTACGCTTTCTCGTGCATTCTGGCATTGCAAATGTTACATTATACATGCATGCTGGGAGAAAAGAATGAAACCAGCAAGTGTGTTACTTTAAATCCTTTGCCCACCCTATGGTTCCCAGCCGTTTTGCCCTGTAAAGTGCCTAGTTTCCCAAGCATTTATATTGTCTTAACTAATTACGAGGACGGAAAATATTCAAATGAGCATTACTCCAAAACTAGTAGTGATAGAAACAAGCTTCCTGCATCTACATGGAAAAAGCTAGAGATCCATATTTTAGCATAATTTTTTCAATAAGCCCTAAAGGAATTTTTTTGATTATTTTATTGACCCCCATTATTTCGGGGTCATAAACCAATCTCACCCAAATTTATCGCATTGAAATCGTGCCCCATAGAAAAACTTTGAAAGTCCATAACATTTCATCATTTCAAAGGTGTTTTTCAATACAGTTCAGTTATAACCTGGTTTTGTATCTTTCTTTTACGTACAGCAGGTTTTCCCTGCTTATTTGGGTCATCGTAAACATACTCTTTCTGGTAGTGCCACCGACCGAAACATGAAACAGAGGGACACATCCGTATGTTACATGCCTGACATACATATTTGGTGTCACATCGTTGTTTGTGTACTTGACACCTAGAAGCAAGTGTATGAGAAGGGGAGCATGGTTACGGAAGAGCTAGGAATTAACGTAGAGGTTGGAAACATCAAGGCATTCCTTCTTCTGCACGACACTACCTGGATCTTCAATCGTGCCCAGTGATTCAGTTTGAATTGGAGATCAGAGAGATGTTTATGTTGCGTCTATTGGATATTTTGTGTGTGAATTAAATGAAGGCGAACATGACGCATGCATTAATGTAGGCAGCAAACATGGCGAGGATCAAGGTGCGGAACATTCCATTACCGTCATTAAAAGTATAAAATTCCGACGGATGGTGACAATTTTCATTGTGGCATGGTGTATTTGATAGAACTAATTGGAGGGTAGTGTGAGTGAGTATTGCATGAGTATTGATGCAGCTGCAACACGTCTCAGTTTTGCTATCTGCAAAGGTTACAAATGCAGTTTTAAATTTCCAAGAATTAAAGTCATGTTTGACATCGATGCCTATGACAGATTGACCAAATTTAGATAATTGTTCCAGGGAACGGAGATCTGACAAAATTATATGATAATTACGATTGAGTGTTTCATCCCTACGTTGAAAAAAGAGTACAGATTCGTTTAAACGTTCTAACAACTTCCGTATTTCTCCAATCAGAGGAAAGAAGGGGTATGTCATCTTGTGACTTCATATGTAATTTAATTTAACATTTATCAACATACTTCAATTGATTACTAATTCGACTAAGTGTGTGATCGGGACCAACTACATCTTTATCATTTGAGACATGGAGGTTATTCTGAGCATTGGTGGTGGAAAGAACCTTTTTTGCTGTAGCTTTCAACATTACTCGCATGTTATCCCATCTATCACGAGTAGATACATTAGCACGCTTTTTAATTTGCGTGGTAATATTGTCATGATACTACCATGAGCAAAGCTCGTGATCACATGGCGTAATTGCCTGGTAACGCGGCAATGACGCACCGATCTAGCAAACACGAACAAGGAAAGTGCACTATACGCGTGCGCTGCGTTATATCGGCCACGAGAATGACTATGGATCATTTATACTTACAAGATGAAGCCATGCCGGCTGCAGAACGTACTACTACTAATGTCAAAAAGCAAGCTGCCCTATTACATGTAATGAACAGAACTGCATTTGCAATAGTTCAAGAGAATGGGCCAAGAAAGTATGGTCGACCTCCGCCTGTTTGCGACGGAGCACCCCCGCCGCGTGGATGTCAAGTATTCATGGGTAAAATTCCACGCCACTTCTTGGAAGATGAGTTCGTTGCCGTGCTGGAAAAGGTGCGAAAAAGATATGAATTCCGGTTCGTCATGGATTTCACTGGTTCCAACCGAGGCTATGTTTTTTGCATGTTCACTAACAAGGAACATGCCTCGACCGCAGTAAAGGAATTGAGCAATTATGAAATCCGTAAGGGTTCGTACCTTGGTGTGTGGCCGAGTACTGATAACTGCCGCTTGTTTGTTGCAGGTATACCTAAAAACGAAATGAAACAGGAAATGCTTTCACACGTTAAAAAATTCACCGACGGAGTTGTAGACGTTATAGTGTACCCATCAGCTACAGATACATGGAAGAATTGGTTAGCTGGCCTAGTAATCTTTCGTCCTCCATGTCTTGCATGGTCAGCATCTTTGAGCATGGTAACCTTTGTCTTGGCAGCACGGCAGTAACGCAGTCGTCCGCTATTCCTGCCGTGTTGTCCGCTGTGCTATTGGCAGCACAAGTCTGATGAGTACGCAGAGTCGCATCTGTACAACTATCATCTACGTTTCCAATCAGCACCTCCGGTACATGTGGAGGATGTGGTGATGGTGGAACTGCACACGAGCTGAGCCTGCTTTCATCATCTGTCATGTCCGAACGGTTAAGGTACCAGCTCGACTGTGACAGCTTTAGTTGGTACGACGATCTGCGAAGCTCACATGCATGCTGCGAAGAATGAATAGCTATGCATACGTGATATATGTTCATCGCAGGGAAACGGCGCAACGCATTATGGGTAAAACGACGCGAGCGGAAAATAATCGCTAAGCAGAAATGATATTGTTATAATTACCAATGTAGCTAATGCATCGAATAGACACATTATCAGTGTTGAAAAAGCATACAACAAGGCAAGTCCATATGTGTACTATTCTTGTTCTATAGTATTTGTGGTGAAACGTTAGTAAAGACAAGAATATGGTATATTTTCGTATTACATACATTATATCGCATATGACATGATGTACTGCCGAACATCAATGACAGAGCACATTTTTTGCAACATGCAGCTCATGAGGCTAATGACCCGGTGCATGGTGTCATGGCTGAACCGCAGAAGATTGCTGAGAAGAAGCGGTGTAGTAGGCGACAAGGCAAGGGTTGCAGTTACAGCGTTTATGCATCCGGTGGTCAGCAGCAACATGCCGCTCCTGTTTCAGGCGGGGTTCAGTTGCATACAAGAGTTTGTCTGAAGTGTGATGGGAATCATACACTGTTTGCATGCGAGCAGTTAAACGCCATGAAGACACACGAGCGATTGAAATGCGCACGAGACAATAAGCTGTAGTACAACTTTCAATTGAGGTATGGTTATGACAGTGTGTTGTGATATGCATTACAATGAATTATATGTATTTGTGGTTAGAAACAGAAAAGAAGTTGTTAAATACATAAGTTCATAATAAGAACATAATAAGTAAGTGAGGCGCGTATATATTGCGGCTGTGTGTGCGTGTGTTTGGTTGGATCAGTATGAAGAAGCGTCCTTCTTCCCAAGCAGTTCTCACGGACGCCACCGTCAGGGGTAGAATGGCAGAGGGTCGTTCTCCACTGCTCAGGAAGAGGGAGCTTATCACAAAGTCTCTAACCATTGCGGTGTCGCTGACCGTCGGTTTGGGGGCTGCCTCTCTTATAATGTCTCTAGCAGTATCACAATTGTTGAAGCTGTAGAACATACTGATTGCAAACACCGATCATACGTCGAACAGTTTACCAGAATATTACAATTGTTCTGCATTTTTCGTACTTCATAAAGTTGTCACTCTGTCTGCAACAGAGGAAAATGCAGACTGTCAGGGAGCCAGTAGCAGTAATGATGATGGTATTAATACCATTCAGTGTGATGATGATATTACAGATGGAATCGAATGTACTACTAACGTTAGAGAATATAGGCAGCTACCCACAAAAAGCCATACTCCACGTGCTCGACTGTTCAATGCGAGAAAGTAAATGCTTTATGGTTTTTGTTCAGCAATATGGTTGATGTCCTAGTTTGTGGATACACACTGTCACCTAGATTTCCTCTTCAATAGGTAAAGTTGCAGTACAGATTCCATTAAATTAGGCAACGAGTTTAGAGTGAAATGGACATTGCTTCGCATTTTTATAGCCGTGGTAAGTGATCGTGTTAAAGTAATTCTATTCGTATTAATACCAATTTATATTGTACGTCTCGTTTGAAGGGCACGTTGACGAAGTAGAAGTGCATCAATGCGACAACGTTGCCGACAAATTTTGAATCGTGCATCGCGATCTTCTGCGATCCTATGACATTTACAAGGAAATGCATATGGGCACCCATGCTAAGAGTAAGTGAATAGTGCCAGTCCCCCCATGGACTAAGGCCACAATGGGAAAAATAGTTGTTTGCCCTGACCCGACCCAGGCTGAAAAATTTCGGTACGTAGGTAGGGTTTTTCCTGTGTTTTTTGAGGGGAGTGTTTTTAAAAATTCAGCGTGGTGTCTACATGCTCGGGTGTCGTTGTGTGGATATAGCTTTTATGTTGAATATTTGTTTTGCTTGGTACATATAACATATTGCCTACAGACTTATATAATGTACAGTGATATAATTGTGAACAAAACTAAGAATGGGAAAGATGAAGAGAAAAATTGTGATTTTGCCCCTTTTTGGCACGTCGGTCGGGTGAGTGAAAACAAACAATATGTTTATTATGGCCTAATTGGCGACACGTTTGTTTACCGTACGTAGGGATACTAAGCAGAGCTAGGAATAGCACAGCTGAGTATCAAGGTACGACTAAGTGTACGTCAACGCAAGTGAACGAGCACAATAACATCGATAGTTGACGTTGAGCGACATAAGCCGATGCGAACGATGAAGGCAAATGTGTATGTCAGTGAAGGGCGTGACAGAAGTTTGATGGCAAGTTCATACGCATGTAAGGAAGGTGGGATTCAGGGAAGTACGTGACACAAGTTTGATGCCTCGTTCATACGCATGTAAGGAAGGTGCGAAGGAAGACAACATGATGTAGCATCACGTATGATTTGATCATGTTGTTGTATGGACAACATAAGAAAGGGAAGGAAGACGACATGATGTACTCAATGCGTGAACGTCTAATCATAGATGATCGCATCGAAACAACTACAATATGATGTAGTGCATGCTAAACCAGCAGATTGACTCATTAAACAGCTATGTGGTCGTGTGTTGTCTGAATGCATTGCATGTGTAGCGTTTTGTGTCTTTCCTCGACACCAGGGGGCGCCACCTGACAATACGCAGTAACTAACAGTTTACCTCACGTATAGTGCAGTGCAACACGGTGGATAGTGGCAACGAGAAATACAAGTCTGTCCAAGACAATTCTGTTAAAAAAGTATATGTTCTTAACTTGTCCATTATAGAAGTATTTCTGAGAAAGCACTGTAAAATGTTACTCTGAGATGACATAAATGAACTATTTTGCATATACATACGCTTCTGCTGCAGAACTGCACGGGTTTCCTGCAGTCTGTCACTGTAAAATGACAGGAAACCTGCCATCTCCCTTTGTAGATGTGAAGATTCCTCATTGTGACGCTTCCACATCATCTGCGTGTTGGCCCAACTCCGTTTGACGGCCAAGGAAGGCCTGGTTCTATAAAACATTAATTATTAAATTAAATGTGTAATTAATAATAAATAATAAAACGCTGTATTAGATTAATTACATTACATTATGTTATGATAAACTACTATGATAAAACCATTAATTTAATATGTCGCCACAGTAAACACGTGCGATCTGTGCTTCTGATTTGCCATGGGAAGTGACTACCCAGAATCTCCATCTGGTTGAGCACTACTCCTGCGCGGGCCTCTAAATCTCCACAAGTGGTATTCAGTGTGGCCTTATCCTTGGCAATTTGCAGTCTGATGTGGTGTCTTTGTTTAGAAGTTGCTTAAAAATCGGTAGGAAAACCAGCAATGCACCATGACTACACTACGTAGCTTTTGCAATTTACCTTACTTGCAGAAATACTGTATGTAAAACTAATTTGAAAGTGGTTATTTCCACGGAAAGATTTATTAGGGTTAGGGTTAGGATTAAACCTCAAATTACAGAACTGAACCTCAAATTTTGAGTCATTGTGCTATAGGCCGTCAAAATGGGCCACGGGGCCGTTTGTGGTACTAAAGGTCACTTCACTGGTCCTATTGGCATTTTGCATGGTACTAGAAGCCATGGACTCTTGCCCCGAGGCCGTCCCGAGGCCCGAGGCGATTTCCAGTGTCAGTGCCTTGATCTTGTCATACAGCTGTTTTTTGCTGTGCGATTTGCGCGCGCGTGCGTGTGTGTCTGCAATGTTGCCGTTCATGTGAATTGCTTTCACCATACAAGCAGACTAGCACACAATTATAGGAAGCATGGCAATCGACCTGATGGTAGTATTGCACAGATGAAAACGTCACAGTGGAATGTCGTGCATTCATGCATGTTTGTGGTATTGTGCTATGACGATGTTGTGCTATTATGCAAGCGTATCCAATTGGTGTCATGTCGACATGGTAGTACTTGCCCCATACACGCGTATGATTGTTATATGGGTAGGTAAGTGTCAAACGAAGTCATAAGTGACGTGATGCATTGTAGGGAAATGTATATGTTAACTTCGTTAGTCTCGAACGAATACTTCATGAACATGGCAGCAGCAGTTGATGTAAAGTAACAGGAAAGTAACGTGTGAAATACGAGCTGAATACTTAAGAACTGTCCGTGTATAATGCACACCCTCGAACCAGCAGGTGCCACGGAACAGCAACAAACCAGCAAAGGTGAACGCTTCAGCCGGTATGGCCGTACATTCAAGCATGCCGAGAAAGTTTCTCTGTAATATTCGCATTGCACTTGAAACTTTTATATGCTGAATTGGCTGCTGGTAAAGTTAAAATAAAGTTGAAATGATGTGTTATTATGTGGACTTATTATATGATGATCGTGTCAATTATGTTCATTATGTTATCTTCAATAAATACATAATGAATCAATAGCTATGCAAAGGTCATATATTTTCATCGCACAGGAACCGCGCAACGCATTATCGGTACAACGACGCCAGAGGGAAATCATTGATAAGGACAAATGATATTGTTATCATGACAAATGTAGGTAATGCATCCAATACACACATTATGAGTGTTTAAGAAACATACAACAAGGGAAGTCGATATGTGTAGTATCGTTGCTGTATTGTATTTGTGGTGAAACGTTACTAAAGACAACAATATCGTATATTTGCGTATTACATATATTATATCGCATATCACATGATGTAGTGTATTACTATTAGCGACAATTGCTGTGAGCGATCAGTTGAAATGTGCCGTATATAGTTTGTTTGCTGTACATAATCACTGCATTCACCGATGACATGTACGACACGACTTGCTACTGTAGCCGTAGGCCTATGTAGTGTGGAATTAACACATGCTACGAGCAATTACTGAATGAGCTGTTATTAGTGATATGACTTGTTCATGTAGATGGCGCTGCGGATAGCGCTTGACGTTGAAAATGTATATGGGAATTTAAATTAAATGTAATAATGAATAAATCTATGGAAACTACTGTATTATATGTTTAGTGCTTGCTATATCATACAATCAATAACAGATTGAGTTTGACATGAGTAACCATCACCACTTACAACACTTGAGTGAACACATTTGCAAAGGGTGAAATCCAACTGGAAGTGAAGTAGGCCTACATGACATGACAAGTCTTGGACTCTTGGGTATATATCATGAATAATACGCGTATATGTGCGCATTGTTAACCAACCAGCATTTGCTGGTATATTTCACGCATCCCTACATGTCTCCGAGAAAAGATTTGTTTGAAACTTGAAATGGGGTGAAATTTTCCCATATCCTGCACACCTAACCCAGAATATATATGTATACCGTCTTACCGTCTTTTACCGTCTTACCGTTACCAAGCGAGAAGGAAAACTACCAATAAGTGCTTTCACCCTGTACACTACGGGGCACCATGCAGGACAGGCATTTTTGTACCTATAAACTTGACAAAAATGAGTTTTGTGAACACAAAACTCAATTCTGTCAATCCTGTCTCACAAAACTCAATTTTGTGAACACAAAACTCAATTCTGTCAATCCTGTCTCACAAAACTCAATTTTGTGAACACAAAACTCAATTCTGTTAAACCGGTTCCACAAAACTCAATTTTGTAAACACAAAACTCAATTCTGTTCGCTGACTGGCGCTGCTGCAGCGCCGCCAGAAATGGCCGTTTGAAGTTCGCAAATCGAATGTTTGTTCACAAGAAATACCGCAAGTATACCATTGCAACGATAGTTAGAGGTTCAATTTTAGTAGCGGGTATAACTTAAGACATATTCACTTCGGATAAGAGGCATTAATTGCCTACCACAGACGTTTTTTTAGCCGGATACATTGGGGATAAGTTGGTCCATTGCATGCCCCATGGGTCGGTCTATAGACCAGCGGCAGTTAATGTAAGCGGCTATAGTACTAAAGCTAGTACGTGGTATGAATTTGTGATAGAAATAATATCCTTACTCGACTAGCTACACTGGCCAGATGTGTTCATATTGTGTGGAAGTATTTCGGAAAGGAATTATCATGTGAAAGTGTGAAAACATTTCTAATAGCGAGATGATGATATTGGTAATTGTTGTTACCATGGCTAATTTGAGATTGACACTTTAGCGTCAATACAGATTAATCCACCTACCGATATTGAATTGATGTCATTGAGAATGAGAACTCAAGTTTTGTCTACGAGTTGAATAACTACGTCAAATGGTAATGCACAACACTGGAACAAATTGAAACTTATAAGATTGTACCTGCATACATATTTATGATTCGTTGTAGTCACCATGTTATCCGAAGGCAAACCGACGACAGCTTTATTGTAAAAAGCCAGACAGATGCAAAGATCGAATACATGGTCGACATTAGCAAACCATCGTGTCACTGCTATGGATGGCAACACTGTAGATTGCCATGCAAACACATGTTTGGGGTTTTTGCAAACACCGATCATACGTCGAACAGTTTAGCAGAATATTACAAATGTTCTGCATTTTTCGTACTTCATAAAGTTATCACTCTGTCTGCAACAGAGGAAAATGCAGACTGTCAGGGAGCCAGTAGCAGTAATGATGATGGTATTAATACCATTCAGTGGGATGATGATATTACAGATGGAATCGAATGTACTACTAACGTTAGAGAATATAGGCAGCTACCCACAAAAAGCCATACTCCACGTGCTCGACGACCCAAGTGCAGGGAGCTGCTGAAGTCAATAAACAATGTAACATACGTACTACATGACAGTATGCTGAACGATGTAGAAGTTGCCGTGTACCAGATGTACCTCAAATGAAATCAATCTGCTCACAAAAGCAGCGGGTTTATAGTCGAGCCAAAGTTAGCGTCGAAAAGACAATGTCAGATGTTCACCGAATCTCAGCTAACTACGAAAAAGCTCAGATATTCAAAAGTAAGAATGCCCAAAAAACGACACCCGGCAACTGGGCGATTTGGCACTTCTGGTGAAATGATGAAAAAGAACGAGTTAGTAAATCTTAATGTTTAGAATTGAGTTTTGTGTTTACAAAATTGAGTTTTGTGGTACAGGATTGACAGAATTGAGTTTTGTGTTCACAAAATTGAGTTTTGTGAGACAGAATTGAGTTTTGTTAGACAAAATTGAGCCCTGTCCTGCATGGCGCCCCGTAGTACACCGGGGCAATGTATTTTAGGCGCTTACGGCTGCCAGGCATTTGCAAATTATCCGTTTGAAAGTAGGATTTCAGGAAGGAGCAAATCGGAATAATGGGATTGTAATCGGCTGATATTGTGAATAACATTTGTTGTATTTAACATTTGTTGTTGAGGTTGTAAGGCTGTTCTGTTGAGGGAGCTGGTGTTTAAGAGATCCGGCGGAACAGTAAGTGACCATCTACTACGATTCAGGCTTAATTACCAATTTATATAATTCCGATAACCTCATTTATGGTGTTCATGGATATGAGAATTGCTAGCACGCTCATATATTAAAGACATGTATGTATTTGCTTTTTGCAGAATTTAATGCTAACTACCTACCGTTCATACGGTTGGTACGTTCATAAAGCATCTCAATAAAAGTCGGATTGTCTTCGCGTATTCGTCGACTGTTGTAGTGAAGTCTGATGTTTCCGCACACACACGTTCACCGCCCAATACCCTACAGTCGGACAGCGCCGCCGCCGAGCGTGTACGCGTACATTGCCCACCCACACACGTTCGCCTCGATACCCGTCAGGGAGCGGACGACCAGCTTACAGACAGCGAGCGTCTAATTAAATATTGACTAATACGAGTCATTTCGCCCTCATGAAATATTGTAGTTTGGTCGGGTCAGGAATAACGTTGCAGCAACGTTGTAGAAACGTACGATGCGAACGTTAGACTCGCACCTTCCGACAACGTTACGTAGTAACGTTTGAACAACGCTATTACGACGTTGGATACGTATATGGTATTATACATATTTCTCTATTATCAATTGACATGTATAGTTATGGAATTTACTATATGATATGTCAACTTATAACCTTAAGTAATTACGTCATGTTATTTAAATGTCATAGTGAAATCATCTAATCATGTCAATGTCATTATAGAATCCTCAAAGTCACTGGTAAGCTAAGCTGGTTTAATACTAATAGATGTTCTCGCAACCCTTATTACAGCAGGTTTTTGTTTAGATTTCTTGCAAAACCAGTCTATGAATCTACACACTGAAAGAACGAAAACAGTCAATGCATTCAAAAGTCTTTCTTTATTGTTGTTATTATTTGCTTATTTTTTGATTCATTTTGTGCTCAATTGCAATGGCTCCATATATATTGTTATTATGAAATGGCAAAAGTACTTGTATTTCCAGATACGCTTCCTGAGTGTAGTTGGTGGACGAGACGTCCAGGCAACGGCTAAGCTGGTATTGCAGAAAGTTGCATGGAATCATGTGTTGTAGCATTTGAACAGGCAAGGGAGGAGGGGGGGACTGTGTTATGATATCCATTATCATGAATTATATGTATTGTTGGTTGAAAACACAAACATAATTACTTAAAAACATGGCCCACATTTATGGGCCAACATTTATTAACATTTGGTCGTGAAGTTGAACTTTTCACTATAAACC